TTCCTGCTGCAGAGATGAAGTGGCTGGGGGTGGTGGAGTGGCTCTACCATAACAGCTGTCCCAGGCAATGTCCCCTGGCTCACAGTTCAAATTTTTGACTTTCTATAAATTTGTCAAATAAGTTATCTACTAACTTTGTCATGCTTCATTTTGTTTACTTAATTTGAAAAGTATCTTGTTTCAAAGGGAATTACTTACAATTCAGTGCAGTTATTTTTACATTGGGTATTGTAAGAACGTTCTTCCCATAACACAAAATCAGAGGAGCTCAGATATCCATGTCCCAAGTGTCCATGATAACATAATTAAATCAATGTTGGAAAACAAAAGGATTTTTTTAAATCTCGAAATATTCATGGTAATACTGAAAAATGAGTTGTGAATGTTAGTTCTGTTGACTAAGTTGGATATTCCTTCCTTAGTGGTCAGCCTTCTCTGAGGGCTGCAAATTATGGAGGGAAAAAAAAAAAGTCCATATGAAAATATGCTCTTTTCTGTGTTTCTTCTTTCTCTGCTGAATGTTTGTTCATATATTTGGTAATATTAATTTGCTGCTTTGCTGCTGACAAGCTACAAGATTTCCAAGATTTTTTTTTAAAAACACCTTCTATTTCTTTATTTGTATCAATATCAGAATTGTTTCATTCTAAAAACTTATACAGTCTTCTGATATCTTACTTCAAGGGGGTTCTTTCCTGTGGTGGTTGGCTTTATTAGAAGAGTTCCAGTCCTTGGCTATCTCTTGAATTTACCTGGTATAAGCTCGGTAAGTGTTTGGTACTTAATGCGAAATTTGAAACTTCCACTGTGTTTTAATCCATTATAATATAATGGATGCAGTAGTAAAAATACTTGAGAAATATAGCAAATACAGCTTTAGAGCAGTGATGTTGGATGCATTCTTGCAGAGTTCTTGCACCATATGGATCATGTTCAGTCCCATTGAGAGACTCTTAAATGTAAAAGGAACAAAAGGAAACCTTTGCAGAAGCTGCCCCTGCTTTAGTGCTGTTAAGCAGAAAGGGACCTGAATTGTGATTTGGAAAGCTTGGGGGTCTGGTTCCTGCTTCACTGTTGGCCCTAGGAGACCACAGGTGAATCGTGCCGCCACCTTTTTGTTCTTGTTTTCCTGTCTGTAAAATGAGGAGGACACTGATCTTCCTTTGTGAAGTACTTAAATATATTTTGAAAAATGGCCTAGAAGAGCAAAGAATTAAGTGTTGTAGCTTGTATGGTGAACCCAAAAACTCTCATGATGCGTAATCATTCATCAAATACAACATTTATACAAGTTCACTGCACCAAACTAGGTTTAGCTATTTCCTGAGCTTTGTATTTTTCAAATGCAGTTTTACACTTTCTTAACCAAATAGCCAGGGAATTGATGAAAATTAAAAGGTGCCAGAAAGATGGTAATCTAGGGGTGTTTTGTCAACTACTTTTACTGTGCTAATTTCTGTATGTACTTCAACGCAAGAGTTTTTAACCTCAGTTTTGTAAGCTACGGTTTAATAACTACTACGTTAAAATTAATGGAGGGTGCAACTGAGATGTATACCGTCTGGGTTTTTAAAATTAGTGTTCAAGATAATCTGTTCTAATCTTACAGTTTGGGCCAAGTTCTGGCTCATGAATCATGATCAATTGAATGTTTCACTTGGTCAATTGATCTTACCTACACACATTTAATTTGATCATAATGGGGTTAAATCTTGTTTAAAAAGATAATTGTTAATGTTTTATTCAAAGCCTACGTAGGCTCAGAAGAGAATCCACAGTAATGGTCAGTTGAAATATCTTATTTTGTCTACTAATGCATGTGTGGCTGATAATGTATTGTTTTGTTTTGATCATTAAGCTAGCAGTGTTAACTGCATTCCTCTATTTTCTTTTCCATTCTGTTGCATTTTCATGTTGCACTGTTAATGTCTATATGAGAAAACATGTCATGCAGAAACGTAGTTGCAATGTTAAGATTTTTAATTTTTACAAACTTAGATTTCATGAGACCTCGGTGAGTACTACTGGATTCTCATTTTTAGTCACATACTAACTGTGTGCAAGTAGCAAGTTACATTTTTATATTTGAGAGTAATTTCACTGTACGTAAGTGTCATGCAACTTTGAACTTTTTGTCTCCTTTTCTACAGCTTGTAGACAAAGTGGGAGAAAGCAACAACATGGTATAATGACAAGAGGGCAGAAGACTGATTCTAAACTTACTGTATTATTTATAAAAATCCTTTTGAAGAATACTCAGCACAAAGATTAAGTTGTGTACAAAGGAAAAGCTTGTAACATTCTTTACATAACAGTTTAATTTAAAATGTATAGTTGACAATATACATTAGAAAAGAAGCTCAGCAAGTGTGCTTCTAGGAAAAGTAACTCCAGAGTTCAGGAAGTAAACTGAAGAGGTGAAAGTCATGGAATAGCCCGTGTTACAACTGTTCAAGACTATTTTTGTTGTTTTTTGGAAAACACGCTAAATGCAAGGAACCTTTGTGGAATTAATGGTGCCTGTAGTTTACCTCCTTATTTTGAAGGTGCAGTAGAGCAAACAGGCCTGCATTTTTAAGGGTGACCCCAACTTATCCAACCCTCTGCTTGCTACCCTCAGAGTGCAAAAAACAAAAAACTTCTTGTGTAACAAGAGATTTGTCTTTGCATGAAAGTTAAGATGACTATTCATCTTTAAGCCTATTATGACAATAAAAGGAAATCCCTCATGGTTCTGTTGTAAACATTTTTGTAAATATGTGGCTGAAATAAAACATTGTTATCTTAATGTTTCAAAGCCAAATGTAAATTGATTGTATTTGCCTTCCGTTTTGGAATATGCAAAAGGTCAATTTTTAACTTCAATCTTAAATGTTGGTTCTGAACATGCAGAGTTCGACAAGGAACTCTGGAAACTAACTTACACTCCTTCCAGTTTGTTCTCCTTGAGTCATGTTACACGTGTGCATCCAGATGAGAATGTAGCCCCTTATCACTAACATGAAAATTTTGTGGAATATGTTTAATTCACAAAAAATGCATTTGGTTAAGGTGCTGACATGAACCCTGTCAAATATATCTTATCAAAATATGAACCTTTGTTTTTAAATCATTTGGAGCTAAGGTTTCCTTGTTTACCTTGGAACTACAAATTGAAGATTTTATTTTTTACAGTAATAAAATGAAAACTTAAAATTCCGTGTATGCGAGTCTCTGGGAAGAAAATTGATCTAACTGGCTAACTGAAGATCAAGTGCCAGTCTTGGTATCTGTTTCATAACCTGTTTCTTGGGTTATCTTCAAATAACTTACAACTTCTGTCAATCATAGACTTTTGTCATCACCTTTGCTGTTACAGAGATTCTTAGACAACCTGATTTATGCGCAAACTTAGAATAAATGTCCCCTACTAATGCAAAGGTCACGTTTCTGCTTCTATTGAAATATTGAACGTCATACATTTTCAATAGATTTAGTTACGTAGTGTCTTCACCTAACAAGAAGCGATCAGTAAGTAAATGGTATGTGCAGGCTTTGGGGTTTTTTGTTGTTGTTTTAAACTTTCTTCCTTTCCTTCAAATGTAATCCTAAAAACTATCTGAAATGTGATGACAGTGTCTCAAGTAACTATGTAGTCTTACAGGTCTAATGAATTTTTTAATTCCAAACTTAAAATAGTTATTTTCCAAACTAACTTTTAAGCTGAGAAGAATCCTCATATACCAACCACTTTGGAAGTTGCTACGAAGTTTACTTGTGTATGCGATGAGGTTCTTTGCAGCTATTAATATAGTTGTAACAATCTACTGTTTCCAACTTCCCCATTTAATCTGCTTTCTTCTCAAATAGGCATAAAACGATTCAGTGGAGAAGCATGTCATGATATTTATTTATAATGAACAGCATCTGAAAAATCAGTGTTTTTATTTTGTAATAAAATCAGTTATATTTGCCTGAGGGCATGTGTATTATAGCTTGCAGACAGGACTAAATATGACTTGTGGCTCCTACCTCAAGAGATGAACCAATTTTAATTGCCCCTATAGATCTGTTGTCTGTTAAACGACTGCAGAATAACACTATGGCTGTTTAGCAAACTAATCTTGTTTGCTTTGCTAGAATGCTAGTCTGTACTATGGGAATCAAGTGCTGTTTAAAGCAGACAGTGTTCATTATTTACAATAGATGCTGGCTAGCTAAAGATTGTCCTTCTTGTTTTTGGAAAAGTAATCTAATGGCAAAGATGTGTTGCACCACATGACTATGGAGTGCTGATTCAAAGCAAATTGTTTGGCAAGCTAAAGTACCTTCATCAACAAGAACTCTGATCTCTTTCAGAGATGATGAATGTGTTATTGTATATGATATTTTAGCCCTTTGAAATTCTGAGATGGGGCAGTTCATCTCACTTCTATTTAATTCACTGTTTTAAAAAAAAAAAAAAAGTTAATTTTTGTCAGATGTGAACTGTTGTGAAAAGTGTCCAAGGGAACAAAACTGTATGTTGAATTTAGCATAGTCTTTATCCCTCAAAGTAACATTGATTGTGATTGAGAGAGTTTTGCCAAGCTAAATATGGGTGGCAGCAAAGGTCGAAACTACTTAGCCTTAAAGTGTTTCTGTCATTGCAAGAATACCTTTAACAGGAACGTTTTCCCTTTTAAATGTAATTTAGAATTGCTGCTTTAAAAATCATAAAGATGAATCTTATCCTGAGCAAATGAATACTGTAAATATACTTGTCATACCTTGAATAAATGGGTACCTTTTTCTATAATTTGTCTTTGTGTCTTTTTGCCTACACATTTTAAGAATGTTTTAATGAGTTTTCCCCTCCCAACAGTTAGGGAGTGCATGCACTTACTGCTTTGCTCTCTTACACTGTTATGACTTTTGTAGTTAATAATGTCTTACATTAGTTAGTCTTAAATGGGAAGGTTGTTTTCTTATGATGAACCTTCTTTTACATAAACATTCCCCTTTTCCTTTTATATGCATCTATACATAATAGGACATCATTTGTTTTTTGTTTCAAAAAGCAAGCATCTTAACGTAGAACTGCCTAGTGAATAGGGCATTTTCAGTTGACGAAATATATACGAAGGTGACATATCTTCCCTTTGCTTTGTCTCTGATTTTACTGTATGACCCTAGGCAGCTTCAACTTCAGTACTTTGGTCAGAAACTGTTTTAAAAGGCCAAGAGCTAGGAATGGAGTCTTGTTCTCAGCTGATTATTCAGATTCTAATTTCAAACAAAACTTGCAAATTTTGGTTAGGTGGGAAATGGTTTCTTAAGTTAAACATTTTCTCTCTTTCGCTGTCTCTCACGTGCTCTTTCACTCAAGTAGAGAGGCAGTAACTCTGAAACTCTAGGGAAAAATAAAGGTACGTTTCTAGAATTTAGTGCAGGGTCTGGTCCCTGTGCTTTCAGTTTAGTTCAGGGGTAAGAGCATGACTCCTATATCCTAGAAAGTGGCCTGGTAAGCAGGCTCGCTAATGTGTAGTGATCCACAAGCTTTTGTCCACTGTTGAGGATTTTTTCAGAGGGAGGAGGAGAAGAGCAAAGCAGAAATTTTAGTTTGTTGTTGGCATGCTGTGTTAGCACCATGTGCTAGGTAATGCCCTAAAAAAATCTTTATTTTTCAGAAGTTCCAGCCTCTCAACCAGTTTTACTAATGCTGGTGCTATCCTAAGAGTTCCAAAGAGTTTAGGACTTTCTAATTGAAAAGTAAAAAATTCTAGCTACATCTAGTTATATTTGTTAAATTGTGAGAGGTATAACGCTAATCTGAGTATAGTTTATGGCCAATTACTTTTGGAGAATTGCTGCCATTTATCAACCAAGAATACTTTGACATTGTTGCTGGTTATGCTATAGTCCCATAGTTTGGACAGTCTGTCAGTGATGTTATAGTGAAGGTATCTTGTCTCTGCAGTGGGAGCCAAAGGCAAGACTGTCTTGGGTTACTTCAAAATTGTTTCTTTGCCAGCTTTCATCAAGGTATAGACTAACCTAGCTGATCCCTTTCTGATTTGCTTGACTATCAAGCCGAAAAACAGAGTCAACTTCCCTAAACTGGTTGTACTGCTAGGTCTCCCTGCTGTCTTTTTGGATGTCATCTCCAACCTTTGCACTCCTGTCTCCATCTCTGGCTGCCACATGCTGGATTCTTTTTGCTGTTATTTCTACCCTTCAGATTGCCACTACCAGCTGTGACAGCACTAATATGCAATTACCAAACTAACTTCCCCAGCAGAGCTTGGCCGGTGTGACCCCACTTCATCCTAAACTTCACTCGTCTAATATTGGTCTTGGTGTGTTAAAGCATCTTTTAGAAGACTTGCATTTCATTCTCAGTCCAACAAAGAGATTCTGCAGCTGCAGTAATCCCTTGCCAAGCTTAATTTCAGCATGCTTGTTATATGCTAAAGCATCTTCCTCAAATACATAACAACTTACAGAAAAATGATGGGACTGACAAGGAGTAACGTGGTATGGTATTTATTATTTCAAACCGACTTAGTGTTATGATTTATAATTTGAGATATTTATCAAAATTTGTTTACACCAGTCATTAATGTGTTTAATTTATCTGCTGACGTAACGTAGTGTGTATTTGGAGCTATGTTTGCTGAAAAATATTTGTCTTCCTGTATATTTTCAGCAGATAATCATCTGTATTGAAAAGTAGTTTCACTTTGCTGGGGAGTTTAATGGTTCTCCTATAAAAATATACAGGTTCAAAGTCTCGTATCGTATATGATACCAAAAGCTCATAAAGCTGCTGCAATTGGGCTCCTGGCTGACTTACTGAATAGTAGAATTTCTTGCTCTCTTAAAAAAAAGGGCAACAAAAGGGCAATTTACCTGCTGCTCAGAACGGGGACGTAAATCTCACGAAGATCCCATCTCTTCAGCAGCAATGGCGTTTCTAATTGAGATTTGGCCTCCTGCACTACTGAACCGCCAATGTAGTTAGCCATGTAGGAAAATATCGGTGTCCCACAACCCAGGGTGTGTTTTTTTCTTTTTTGTTTTTTTTCTTTTTTCGGAGCCTCCTGCTG